ATGGATAAAGACACCCATACCCACACTCACAGTGAGGCTATTCACTGTTAGAAAGAAGGAAGTCTTGTCATATGTGACAGCATGGGTGAAAGTGATGGACTACGTGAAGCAGAAGAAGGCACTCAGAAAAGATAAACTCTGCATGATCTCACTTGTATATGGAATCTAAAAGTGTCAGACTCATTGGAGCAGAAAGTAGAATGGTTGTTGCCAGAGCCTGGAAAGTAGAGTGAATGAGGAGATAGTGGTCAAAGGGCAAAACGTTTCAGTTATGTCGAACCAGTTCAGGAGCTCTAATGTACAGTAGAGCAGCGATAGCTAACAGTATTGTTGCATTCTTTAAATTTGGTGAGTCTAGGTTTTAAATGTTCCCACCACACCCACACCCACACCCACACACATGCATGCACAAGCACACGCAGAGTAACCATGTGAGGTGAAAGATGTGTTTGTTAGTTTGACTGTGGTAATCATATATACAACAGTATGCATAATATCTATGCTCACATCACATTGCACACCTTAAATATTTACAATTATTGTCAATTTCACCTCAATAAAGCTTGAAAGCAATGATAAAATAAAATAAAAATAGAAAAGGAAAAGAAGAACAAACTAGCCTTGTAACTCATTTTTTCCTTTCCCCAGCTCATGAGAACTACTATTCAACTTTCTGTCTCTATGAATTTAACTACTCTTGGTACTCTATGCACGAGTGACTGGTTTATTTCACCATGTGTTCATAGTTATTGTATCCATTTTGATGAGCTGTGTTTTTTCAAAGTATTTTTCCATTTCATCTGAGAAGCTGAACTGATGCTGATCAGATATCCTTTAAATATCCATAGGGTCTGTAGTGATGACCCATCTGAGCTGTACTTTGAAAGCTCCCATCTTAATGTCAAGCCACAGTTTATTTGTCCCCTTAGATACTAGCCCACTAGACCAGGAGTGCTAGGAGCTCTTGATATATTATACAATACTAGCATGGGTTACTATTGCTCAGTTACTGATATTCATGATGCAGCATGACATTCTATGTATTAGCTTACTACATGGCAATCATTCATTAGTGGGGAAAACAGAATTTAGAGAAGTGTTTGTGTGTTGGTGGTCCCTGGACCAAGTCCATCTCTTACACTTGTTTGGTTTGATCTGTGTGGTATCTTTTCAATATTGAATAGTTGCTTTGATATAAAATTGGCAGATTTTACATATGAGTACAGATTTTAAATTTTTCTCCAAAGTATATTTGATAACAGTGGGCCCATTTCCAACAGTACTACAGGAATCCTAGTGTTGTGATGTGGTTGCCTTCTTTATACTGAACGTGTCCATTGTGGTTTGAAGCTCATTATTTCAGCCTGCTTGGGTCTGGATACACAGTAAACTTGGTATTCCCTGAGTCAATGATTAAGGGAAAAAGTCAGAAAGTCCTAGATTCAAATTGTTGCTCTATCCTTTACTATATGTCTGGTTGATCACAACCACATTACCTAACTTTTTCAAGCTCTGATTTCTTCATTAGTGAATGGGAATCATAATAGAACTAAGTCTAGAGTAATGAGGACTGAATGAGATAAATATATGTGAATTATTTAGCATGCAGTAAGTGCTGAATAAATAATATGTGCCGTTATATTATGGTTTCTTCAAAGTAGGTCAGAGTAGCGTGGTGGGTAGGATTCTATGTGGGGTTTCTTATCTGAGCTGGGCCACTGCACAGCTGTGTAACTGTTTTGTTGTTGCCTTACTTGCCATATAAAGGAATAGGGTAAGATATCCAAGTTGAAGTTACAGAAAGTTCAACTCAAATTGATTTAATGTAACCAAAAACACTAGAGATAAAGTAGCTTCGGATGAAGCTTGATTGAGCAGTACAATGACATCACCATGTCCCTTTCTTTTCAGCCTTCTCCCCTGATTTCTGTGGTCTATTATGCTCAGCTGTAGGCTGGCTTTTCTTCAGGTTACAAAGTGCTTGTCTACAGGTGCCAAGGCTGTGTGCTTTTCCATCCATGCCCCCTAGAAAATGAATAACTTTGTCTCATTATTCTCTGTGAAAGCTGACATGTCCTGCTATTTGAATTAGCTTAGGCACCCAGCCTACTCCTGAGCCCCTCGCTGTGGCCAGGGGCACAGGAAGTATAGTTTGCTTGGCCCAGTGCTATGTGCATTGGTCCTAGAACTGGGAACACAGTCAGCTCTGCCACAATATCACAGGCCTTCAAAATTCCACCCAGTGGAGTGGGCTGCCTTCAGGGTCTCCCCCAACTCGTTGAGGTCTAAGTTTTATTGGCTCCCAGTCAACTGCTAGCCTGAAGTGCAGAGCTTGCTGAAACCTGGCAATTACATTGGGCTCTCTTTTGATGTGGAAGAATATATTTATTTCAGCTTCTCTAAGAAACCCATATGGCCATCTTTGCACATGTCCTTGGCATCCTTCCCTTTGCAGGAAGAGTAATTGGGCTTGGATTCGTGGGCTTGTTTCATTGCCTTTTGCTGGTAGCTTTTATGGCAGCTGCTTTCCAACACCTTCTGGTGTTTGTATATCATTAGAGCGAGTTGTAGGGAGGGTAGAGAATGGTCTTTTTCTTTGCTAAGAAACAAAGCTGGGCCTGTGTTTTGGAGTCTGGCAAAGTTTTACAGCTCTTCCCAGCTGTGTTAACAAGTCCCTCCATATCTCTGGGCATTACATTTTTTCATCTGAAAAACAGTTGCCTAAAATACCTGTCTCACAAGATTGTTATGAGATGTGTATTAGTCAGTTTTCTATTACTGATACAAAATGCCAGAGGCTGGATATTTTATAAAGGAAAGCAGTTTATTGGGCTCATAGTTTTGGAGGCTGAAAGTCCAATACTGGGTGACACCATTGGTTGACTCCATTGGTTGAGGGAAGGTCCACTGGTAGATGGGACCATGGGCCCACATTCCAGTACTATGGCTGGAATCCCCAGAGGTATGACATGAGGGTACACATGTGAGAGGGAGAGAGTACAGAGTGCGGCAGGAAACAAGAGAGTGGGGAGGGGCCATCCTGCTGTTTAATAGCCCTGTGTTGAGAACTAACTGAGCTCATCAATTCCTTCTGAGCATGGTGCCCTCAGTGATCTAATTACTCAGAGCTCTGGCCACTTCCTAACATCACCACACTAGGACCAAATTTCTAGCACGTGAATGTTCGGGGCACACATTTAAGCCATAGCCAAACCATAGTGGGGCTCAAGTAAAATACTGTCCACAGAAAACTTCAGTTCTTCAGAGAAGCCTTCCCATTCCCAGCTGGCCTACTCACTCCCCATCAAGTCACACACTCATCCTGTCTCATTCATCAGAGGTTCCTGCTCTGGGTGATTGGGGCTCAGTCCAACTGCAGAAGGCAGGGAGACATCCCAGAAGAGACCTCCGAGCACTTCCCATTGAGAGGAGCGGCATCTGCTAGCTCTCTCAGTCATGGCTTAAGGGCTGCTTCTTGCAGATGTTGATGACCCGATTCTCCCCACCTGCCCTTTCCACAGGCGGAGCGGGTTCCTTGCAGCCAGGCTTTGTCTGTGAAAGTCAGTCACAGATAAAGTCTCTGGCATTTAGAGTTGGCGGAAGTTGAATCCACCCACATGGTGATGGGAAACGCCACGAGGATGCCAGCCACCACATGTGCTACGTGGCTGAGTCCCCATTAGCAAATGGTGACCATTCGTTGGATGATTTGAGGGAGCAGGAAGATAAGCTAGAAAGGGAGTCAACGCCCTTTCCTGCATGCTCCTCCCCTCACCCTCCGGCTGCCCCTCCAGGACAGCCCTATACATTGATGCTGGTTACTCATCCAAAGACTGTTTGGAAAGTTCCTTCCTCTCTGATTTCTGGCTGCATATCCAGAGCTGCTGATTTTCTTCTCAGTGTTGAATGCACAGGGCCTAGTTTTGTTTATGACCTGAGGTCTGGACAACATGGGGAGGAAAGTACTTCTGTCCTAGAGTAGAGGTTCTCAGCCCTAGGTATACGTTAGAGTCACCCTCAGCCAGGGACTGACAACATGTCCAGTAACCACAGGGGGCTGCATGGTGGGGAAGCTCCAATAGAGGCATCATATCCGCTACAGTTTCCAACTGTGAAAGGGTATGGCCAGAGGCTGCACGGTGCCTGAGATCTGGTGGAGGCCTGCTCCTTCCAGTGGTCATGGCTACCTGAGCCAATCTGTCAGTGTACTCAGTCGTCAGATGGGAGCAAAGAAAACCCAACCCTTTCCAAACTGATTCCAGGTGAATGAGATGGGTGGAGGTACCCTCACATTCTTGGGGCAGGGAGAATTCCCTAGTGGAATGGGAAGATTTGCTATCACCTGTGCTGCCTTAGGCAGTTCCCTGACCTCTGTGAACTTCAGTGCACTCATCCACAAAACCAGGGCTTTACCTTCTGCAATGCACTGCCACAAGCATGAAATAAGGCAGTGTAATCAAAGCACCCAGGGAAGCACCTGCTACATAATGGAGGTTCAGCAAATTGCTTTCCTTCCAAGAATGTTACTGTGAGCTCTTAATCCTTTTAATAGGATAGAAAACAGGAAAACCCGAATGCTTGGTGTTTAGCTTAAATAATCATTTGCCAGTTACGGATGAAGTCACTCAAAGCCTAAACTCCAAGTCCCTCAGCAGGAGGAACTGTCCACCTTTCCATTTCTGTATCCCCAATCACACCACATGGGGCTCCATGCTTCCCACCTTACAAGGTCTTAGGAGTGGCAACCTTGTCATCAGAGGGAGATGCTGTGAAGGGCCTTGTCCTGGCGTTGCATTATCCTGTGTCATAATATTTGCATTTGAATTGGATGCTGCTTAGGATGCTTTGGGGTGTGGGGAGAGGTGTCACTGCTTCACACAATGCCTGGTACAAAGGAAGCACTAACAACTGGAAGCCAAATTCAAGGACTAACCTTCTTAAGGTAAGAGGTAATGATTACTGCTTAGCTCTCTTGCCCAATGGAGTCATGGAAGAAATGATTGAGAGTGTAAGAAATAATTCTATTTATTGATTAGAACATGGTATAAAATTACAGCAATTTGCAGGCATTCTGGGCTTTTTGGGAGGGACATGCAGTGATGGGCTTGGGCAGGGGATGGAGAGGAGTTACAGACCACTGGGCAATGGCTCTCTTCCTGGGCATGTTAAGAGACTTGCAACTTGCATTACTAGCACAGATGCTAGTGTGGGAGAATTATTAATCCTCACCTTTGGAAATGAATGACACGGGCAGTTTAGGTCATCAGACAATGCCATGCTTAGTAATTCAGTCCTATTCTACAGGTTTAGGTGCTGCCTCCCCCAGACTAGTCAAGGTAGATTTTAATTGTTCTGTGTAACACTCTTTCTTCCCATAAAGGAAGAGAGACAGGCACATTGGTTTGGGAGGCCATCAGAGGATGGTGTGCATTTGGCTCAGGTCCTCAGGTTCCAAATTCAACAAAATCTGCTTAATTTGGAGGCAGTGGGTTGGGGGCATGTAAGCAGAAAACTGTGTACTACGGTTTAAGCTCAAGCAGAGGGACCTTCCATGGAGCAGCAGTGTGAAGAGATGGGCATGCTTCCAAAACAGACTCGAATTGTGTCTCTCTCAAGAGGAGGGAAAAGGAAGAGCTGACGGTCAGAGATGGAGCCACTGAATGCTGGGTTTCATAGAAAGTCTTCAGCAGGGAATTCTTCCAAAGTGTAAAAGGTGTTTCTGTCCCAAGAGTTGGTGTGTAAAATCAGAACAAGGGAAGATCAAGGTATTAAGATACAATGTCTCTGAGTGCTGGATGGCTAAGTGTCCCCATTTACATGACATTTTGGAACAGCTGGAGAGACCTCATGATGTTGTCATCCTGGGAGGAAAGAAAGAGAGGATGGTTAGGGATCTGCAGCAGCTGCCTGAGAAGTTTGGTAATGGTGGCGTGCAAACCTCAAGCATGGTTTCCTAGGCAGAAGGAAGTCCACATCAGTGTCAGACACAAGCAATTAGGGATGTGAATACTAGAAAATGATCAACTCAAAGCAAAACACTTTTATAGGTTTAAGAAGGGATGAATAAAAACAAATTATCCAGTACAATAGTGAGCTGGGTTTTAAAAGAAGCTCTGTGCAATTGCATTGAGTGAAACGATTTTTTTCTACCTCTACAGAGATGATCATACTTTCTTTTCTATTCTATTAATGTGATGAATTATACTGAGTCATTCTTGATTGTTAAACTAAGCTTGTAAGTTTTCATATTAAGGTTATGATAGCTTCATAAATCAAGTTGGGAAGTTTCTCCTTTTTCTCTGTTTCTTGAGTTTGTATAAAATTAATATCATTTGTTCCTTAAATGTTTGGAAGAATGTGCCAGTGAAGCTATCTGAACCTGTGATGTTTATTCTGGAGGAAAGTTTTAAATTATAGATCTAATATCTTTAACACACATAGGACTACAGTATGTAGGTTTTCTTTTCTTGTTAGTTTTGATAAATTATTTTGTGAGGAATGTATAATTTCATATAAGATGTCAAACTTTTTAGATAACGGCTATTATTTCTAGTCAAGCCTGTGTGACATTATCTTTCTCATTGCTGACATTATCAATTTGAGTTTTCTCTTTCTAATCAATTCTATTAATTTTCCTCAAAAAGAGATTTCCTGGTTTTATTGGTTTTGTTACTGTATGTCTATTATTTTATATTTTTCTACCATGTATTATGTAAGGTGTAAGTACTGAATGTAGAAAGTCCTGAAATGTTTGCATAATAAGCAGCACACTTCTAAATCCATGCATCAGAGAACATATTTTAAATTAAAATACAGCAGAAGTATGACATATCAAAATTTGTGGGATCTAAAGCAGAATTCAGCTAACATAGTATTCAGAGGGAATTTGCTCCTGATATAAATCTATATGTTAGAAAAGGTGGTTGAAAATCAGTGATTCAGTTTTCATCTCAAAAAGCTGGGGAAGAAGAAAAGTCTGGAATTTTGAAAATAAGAAAACAGAAAGAAGAAAATAATTTAAGAAACAAATTAAAGAAATAGAAAGTAGACCCATGATAGAGAAAAATCAATAGAGACAGTTGATACCGAGGCTCTGAAATCTATAAGTTGCTAGAACAGGGAGGTACTATTACATTTAGTCATATGGATTCTAGAGTCAGGGAACTTGGATTCAAATGTCGGAGTTATCACATCAACTGTGTTACCTTGGACAAGTTATTTAATCTCTCTGTGTTTCTGTTTCTTCAGGTGTAAAAAGCCCTTGAATATAATATTTACCTGTAGGTTAGTATGTAAGAAATGAACTAATGGCTTAATGAGTAATTGCAGAAACTGCTACTATGAGAAACTAAACTGATTTAAAAGACATTCTCACCTGGCAAGCGAAGTGAAGAAAGCATACTTTAGTTAGACATGGTATTTAAAATTAGATTTATAGAGTTTAGTTTCCATCTCTTTCATTTACTTTGGTCTTAGTCATACGTCTTTCAGTTTTCTCTTTATGAAAATGGGTGCACTCAATGTTGCTTTTCAGTTTGTCATGATTAAATGCTTAAATATTTCTGACCCTCCTGGTAAAAAGCTGCTGACCTCAGCCTCCTTTCTTAATTAACTTTCTAATTAGTAACCTGTCCACGATCACTGGGCCACCCAGACATTCATCAACTGAAAAGTTACTACTAACGTTAGCAGAGATCCTCTACGGCAGTTAAAAGTGGTCTATTTTGGTTGTTAAATACTGTGAATCTCACACAGCATATAGGACGTCTACCCTGTAGAGTTGTTGTTATGTTTGTGTATTGTGCCTGAGCCATTACAATGTGCTCAATATATGTTAATAACTTGTGTCTCTGTGTTTCAGTTCTTGGGTGGTGCTCAGAGTAAGTGTATATCTTTCTGAAATAAGGTAGAGGTATGCACATTACTTTATCTAAAGTAGATGAAGGAATGCTTTCTAGTTTGGTCTCTGGCAGATACTTTGGAATGAATACACTTATGAGACTTAATGAAAGTATCATGGAAGAACAAGCAACCCCAGCCTCTCCTCGGAAAGGGTTAGCATTTCAGGCCCCACTCTAGACCCTAGGAGGAAGAATCTGCATTCTAATAATATAGTGAGGAAGTCTAGTTTACACATTAAAGTTTTTATAACATTGGATCAAAGACATTTGCTTTATAATGACAAATTCTAGACCCCCACCCTAGATCTAGAGGCTCTGAAATCCAGATCTAGAAATAAATACACATTTTCAGAATCATCACTGTAGGCAATTTTCACATACACTACAGTTTGAGAATCACAACTGTAGATTTTTTTCCTAGTTGCTTCCTTGAGGGCTGGGCGTGGGGCATAAAGCCAGAACCAGGTAGAAAAATGACAGCATTGCCCAGTTGGGAACTCTAGTTTCACAGAGACCTCTCTGGGTATTCACAATCTCTGGGGCTGTGCTTGGGCTGTCTGCTCAGGCCTGCTCTGAGCCACAACTAACCACAGACCAGGCTGAGGAGTGCAGACTGGTGGCCTTCTGAGGCTTTGCTGGCGTTGTGGCGCTTGGCTGATTGGAGGGGTGACAGCTGTGTGTAGCTTCTCATTCCTTTCCTTCCTTGGGCCTCCAAGCCCTAGATTTTCTTTCCAGATTTAGAGATATTATGCCTTGTGATCTCTTTCTTACCTCCTGACAAGATTCAAGAAATTCGTCTAAAGTCACAATGCCATCTTTATTTTTGTCCATTTTCTGAAAGACACAATAGGGAGGAGCACTTTTAAAAACCTTATAATTTGCACCCCCCCAAATTTGCTTTTTGTTAACCAACTTTGCTCTGCAAATTAGGATGGTTTTTCACTGGCAAACAACTACAGCTGGGCCCTGGTTATAGCACTTTGACCCTGATGAACTTCCTTAAATCAAAGACTAGCTGCAGATCATCTCATCGCTATATTATTCTAACATCTCCACAGGTTGTATTAATTGGTTTTCTGTTGCTATAATAAAATATCTGAGGATGGGTACTTTACAAAGAAATATGTTTATTTAGCTCACAGATCTGGAGCATCATGAGCTTGATGCCAGCTTCTGCTTGGCTTTGGTGAGTATGTCATGGAAGATGGCATCAGAATGGTGGGAGTGCATGTGGCTAAGATCACATGACAAGGCAGGAAGCCAGAGTGAAGAAGGGCCACTCTTGTTCTTTGTCAGTAACTCATGCTTATAAGGACTACAGCATTAATTCCTTCAGAGGCCATGCTCTCAATGACCGAGTTACCTTCCAATAGGCCCCATCCATTAAAGGTTCCACTGCCTTTCACACTGCTACACTGAGGACCAAGGCTCCAGCACATGAACCTCTGGGGGGTTTGAACATGAACCATTTCTAAACCATAGCATAGTCTTCCCTAAACTGTGTACTAGACTGTCCATTTGGCAGAAAGAACACTGCACATGGGAGGTACCCATTCTCTCTCTGTTACTTACTGTGTGAGCTTTTGACAAGTCAGAGACCTCTGTTTTCCCATTTGCAAAGTGAGAAGATTTGACTACCCAGTAGCGAGATCTGACTGCTAGTGTAACATTTTACTAAATTGCTACTATGATGCTGTTGCTCCCCCACTCAAGGATCAACAGTAGCTACTTATCCTTTACCAGAGAAAGCCTGAACTATTCCATTTAAAGGTTATGCATTCTGGCCTTACCGTAGTTTCCAATTTTATTTCCCCGTTGTGAGAAACCACTCAGACTGTTTCAAAGCTCAGGGCATCTAAGGACACCTGAGGACATGACCCTGCTTGTCTACCACAGGTGGACAGAGGGTACGTTATGTAACCGTGACTTAGCACAGATAAACGTGTATGCACTGGTTACTGCACTATGTAAGAATGTAAATATGAGATAACAACTTGTATAAGAATTATACAATAAAGATGCAGGCAGCTCTTGGGCTCTTGCACTCTTTCACTCTTGTGCTCTGCTGTGCTCCATGCTGCCTGCTGTTGTTGCTGATGTCTTGCACATGTGTGTTCTTTAACCTTGGGACCTCACCCTCAAAAATCTCCCTTGGGTTCCCTGAGTGGGCTGACATCCTTACAACCCAGATACAAATACTCAACGTTTATACAAAGTGATTAATGAAGGCTTCTCAGTTTATTTGGATCCCTCAAGAATTTTAATGGAATTTGTAGCTGTCTAATACCCATTTATAACAAATAACATAACATACATTTGTGCTATGGTGTAAAATTATCTGCTTCATATGATTATCTATTCCTAGTGGACAACATATCTTGTAATTCTTTTCTGTTTCCTATAATATTTAGAACAGGGTTGGACACAAACCACTTGGTCAGATGTCATGATTGGTTCATCTAAGTTGGGCATGAAGCTTGTGTGCAGGTGTGTGCACTCACCTGGAAGAAAACATCCACGTGCTGCCTTGGAGTATCCTCTTTCAGTACAGGATATGTATATTTCCCCATCATGTCATAGATGGCTTTGACAATGTCCATCATTTCCTGCAGAGGGAACACAGAAGTACATGATGTGGGAACCATGAGGGGAAGCTCTTTAGGCAATTGACTTTAGGGTTGCTCCGCCCCTTGTCAGCAAAAGTGATTTAGATCTTTTAAAGCTGACAATGGAGTTAGAAAGCAGTCTAGTCTGGCAGCCTCCTCCTAAAGAGAAGGCAGTAGAAAATTCTCCCTGCTTCAGAAGCTCTTGGGAGATTACCCCTGCTTTAATATTGCCCTTAGTGAAGAGTGATGTGGGATTACACACTCACAATCTTGGTAAAAATGAAATATTCTAAATTAAAGAGAAGTTAACACTGTGCACATTAAAATTTTTTTTTACAGGTTCTATTGCTATTTTAAATTAAGAAAAAGGAACCAACAGCCAGGATTATCCATAGGGCATTTTAAGGGTTTAGAAAACCTATTATTTTAGACTTAAAGAAAAGTTACAAAAATAATGGTATGCTCATGTACAGCTTTTACTCTGTTTCCTTTAACATTAACAACTTTGCAGAGAAACCAACTGGAGAAAAATGAGCAAAGCCAGGAAATGAACATTGTTACCATATCACTACACTATAGACTTAAATTTCATCAGTTCCCCCAACCACATCTTTTTCCCACATGGTGTGGAGTTCTGTTCTTTGTCTCCTTAGGACTTTGACACTTGATGAGAATACCCATCAGTTATTTTATGTCTCTCAGCTTGGGACAGTGCCTGGTTTTCTTATGATTATATCAAAGTTATGCTTTTCTGGCATGAGTTCCCAAGAAGAGATGGTAGTGAGTCATCAGGGAGGTATGCGGTGTTGCTTGTGTTATCACTGGTGAGGTTAACCTTCATCGCTTGATTAAGGTGGTGTTTACCAAGTTTCTTCACTGACTTTAGTTTCTGTAAGCAGATCTTGCCTGCAAAAATTATTACTGTGGAGTTTGTCTGAAGATTATTTTGTAGTCTCTATTATTTCCACATGTATTATTTGGAACTCTGTAAGAAAGAGCTAACACCTTCCCCCATTTATTTATGCATTCAGTTGTTTGTTTATGTCAATATGAGCATATGGATATTTACTGTACTTTGTCGGTGACAATCCAGTATTATCCTTTTTTATTTTGTTGCTTAAATTGCCCTAACTTTTGTTATTCAGACTCTTTCAGGCTTTGGCTATTAGAACTCCCATAGTCTTATGACACGCTCCCATCTGGTATGATCTTGTATTTGGTCTGTCACAGCCCCGGAACAACTCCAAAGAGACTGATACTTTTATGGGAGAATGGAGTTTCAAAACCATGGTCTCACTGCAAGGTGTGCTTATTGTTACAGTGGGTGATTGTTTCAGGGACCCCTGAACAGACAGATCTAGGAAATACATGTTTGTATTCACATGTTTATTTTAAAAATATCTGATTTACAAGTCCTTTGCACCCATGTAGACATCGGGTTCTTTATAGCTTGAGTATTTTTTAATCAAGGAAAGGATATAAAGGCCAATTTTGATTGCTATAAGGATTTTCATGACCTATAATAACTTTGGTGAGATTATCTCCAAATGACTGCCAGGGAGAGAGGCAGTTGTCTTTTCCAGGAAGTTTTGAACTCTCTTTTTCTTTTAAGGGGCCTTTTGTTAATTATGCCATACAGAGACCTCTGATAGATGTTAATGGGGACAATTTTGTCAGGTTTGCAAATTAAAAGAAGTGAGATTGTTTAGTGATGCAATGTTATAACTGTTAAAATAAGGTTAAATATCAGATACTGTAAATTACACTGTAGGTTCATTTCTTTATATATTTTGTAAAGTAGTATTTGAATATTTTAGAGTCATATATTTGAGTATGTTTACAAACATGTAACTGTTTATAAAATTGAGACAATACCATACATACTACTTTGTATAGTGATTTTTAAAATGCAATATATTCTAATTTTCAAGTCATTATTCATGTTCCATGATTTTATTTTATTTTATTATTTGAGACAGGGTATCACTATGTAGTACAGGGTGCAGGTTGGCCTTGAACACACTTATGTAGCTTTAGCTGGCCTCATGATGGTATTCCTGTCTCAGCCTCCCGGGTGCTGGGATTATAAGTGTGCACCACCACACCTGGGTCTCCCATGATTTCAAATGGGAATACTATTTAAAAATACTATTATTTGATCAATTAATAATTTTCATTGTTATTCTAATACGTTCTACTTTCTTAGTGAGGTAAAAAATATATAAATTTATTATTTTATTTAATTTCCCATGAACTATTCATTTATCTTCAATGTGTTTACATATTTCTAAATGGATTGTGAGAGCTCTTTAGATACTCTAAAAATTTGTTAATTTATTTAGAAGGTACTTTTAAATATCTACATATGCTAAATATGGTGTGAAGGAAAAGCAAAGACAAGCTGGACTAAAATGATCCTTCTCTTTGCTATGATGATTGTCTACCAAGGAATAGCAGCTCTTTCTAGGCTGATAACTTGCAAATATTTTTAACCAGTTTGTCACTTGCTTTTCGACTTTGTTTAAGGTGTTTTTTGATGGGCAGAATTTTAAAATATTACAGAGTGAGGTCATTCATACCTTTATTAGTTCTAACTTTGATTTTATGCTTTTTCTGTTCTAAGATCAGACATTTATGTATGACTTCTGGTTCTTTTAGAGCCCAAATCAACTATGTATATTTATGATTAATTTGGATATAGGGTAATAAATGAGAATGTTTACTTATTTATTTCTGGAATAGTTTTCTGAGAGCCATTTGGTGATTGTTTGTCATTTCTTTATTTTCTCCTCTGAATGCTCCTTTTATTGTAAACCAAATTATTATTTGTATCTGGGTTTTCTAATCTGTTCCATTGCCTATTTCTTTCTTTTGTTGTTGTTTTTTGTGGTGTGAAGGATCAAACCCAGCGCTTCACTCAGGCTAGGCAAGCACTCTACCACTGAGCTACATTGCTCACCCTGCCATAATGTTTTAATGATTTCAGTTTCATGATATATTTAATTATCTGATAGAGTAAGTCTCACTATTGTTCTTCTTTGTTTCTCTGCTACTCTTATCTGATTTTTCTTTCAATGTCACTTTATACAAACTGTGCCAATTTCCCACCTGAATAAAACTTTCCTTTTGGTTAGAAATAAAAACGTTGGTGAAGAATTGCTATATTTTCGATATTGTTACCTTTATAATGTACTCCCCCTCAAACAGTGGTACATTTCTCTACTTAGCCAAGTCTTTTTTATGTATTTCCCAGAAAATCTTATCTTCATCTAAATTATAGACATTTAAAAAACTCCCCAGTGCTTTAAGTTTTACTGTTATTGCAATTAGAATATCTTTGTTACAGTTTTCTAAATAGTCATAACTGATATATAGACCAACCAATTTTTTTCTTGTACATGTATTTTATTATTAGTCATAGTTTTTAAAAGCTCCATTTTGAGTTGATTTTCTTGCGTTTTTTTCCAGGTAGAAGATTATGTTACTTAACAAAGAATTTTACAGTTTCTCCTCTTTATATATCAGTCAGTTCTCTTTGTGTCTTCTTGTATTGGAGGAATATTCAGAATGTTAAGTAATGGTGTGGGTGAGTATCGTGCACTCATGTCTTGCTCTTGCTGTGAGAATCTCTATAGTATCACCATAAAGTATGAGGCTGTGTGTCAAGCTGCAGTATTTCCTATTGTGATAAAGATGTATTTTATTCCTATTTTATTAAGGGTTTAAAAATATCAAGAATAGATGGTAAATTTTATTGAATGTGATTTTGGCATTATATGGCTTAATATTTTGATATACTAATATAAATTATTTAATAGAATTTCTCTACTGTTGAATTATTCCTGCAATAAACCTTATCCTAGTCATGTGCGTTTATTTAAATAGAGTGTTAGAATTAATTTCCTACTGTTTCATTTAGAATTTGTGACCTATATGTTAAATGAGATTGAATTGTCACTTTCTTCTCTTTTTACTTTGACAAGGATTTTCTTTTCATACAACACATTTTTTGGATTGATTAGACGTGTCTACCATACAACAAACTTTTTTTAATAAATAAAATTCATTGGAGCACAATGTGTTTAAAACAAACTCCTTCAGTTTAAGTGTACTTGTTGATGAATTTTACATATACTCACTCATATTACCTCTACACACACAACATATGGAGAATTTTCATCATCACAAGAAGTTCCTCCATGTTCCTTAACAGTATCTGTCAACCTTCGGTACCAGGCAACAGCTGATGAGATTATGTCACTATAGACTGGTATGTAGTTTTTAGAACTCCACAAAATGGAATCAATACAGTATAAACTCCAAGTCTATCTTCATTCGCTGAGCATATTTATGAGATTCATGCACATGTTGCATGTAACAGCAATTTATTTCTTTTAACTGCTGAATAATAATCCACTAAATGGGTATGTTATAATGTGTTTATCTATTGTTCTGTTGGTAGGCATTTTGATTGTTTGCAGTTTGGAGGCAACTATAAATAAAGCCACTATGAACATTTCTGTACAGGTATTTATGGCATTACATGATTTAATTTCTTTTGGGTAAATGTCTAGAAGCAGGATTCCTGGGTTATATGTTAATTGCATATTGAAATTTATCAAAGATTTTAAAATGTTTTCTAAAGTGTTTATACCATTTTATATTCCCGTCAGCAAAGTATGAGAATGTCTGTAGCTCCACATGCTTGTCAGCACTTGGTATTGTGAGTCTTTTTAATTGTAGCCATTCCAGTGGATACGTAGCTATATTTTATTATAGTTATAGTTTGCATTTCTTTGAAGACCAGAGATATAGGGCAATTTTTCATGGGCTTATTGACCATACATTTATTTCCTTTTCTGAAGCATTGGTTCAGCTCAGTTCCTTATTTTAAATTGTATTCTTTATCTTCTTATTAAATTATAAGCATTTGTTATGTACCTTGGATATTAGTCATTTGTTAGAGATATAATTTGCAAACATTTTTTTCTGACACTGTGGCTTGCATTTCCATTTTCTTAATGAAGTCCCCAGAGGAATAAAAATTTTAAATTTGATTAAGTCACATTTATTGACTTAGTCTTAAATTTCCTTCTTTCTGGGTTCCTTAAGATATCCTTTGCTACTCCAAAATTGTGAGGATGATTATGCTGTGCATTCTTTAATAAGATAGCTTATGTTTTTATATTTAAGTACATATCCATTTCAAGTTGATTTTTAAAATTTTCTGACACTTTATCGTCTTATCCCATTTTTAATTAAGTATATTGGTACATTTTAGGTATACATAGTGATCACATTCATCAAAGGAAACTTGCACCTGTACATGATATAACTTGATTTTTTTCCCATTCCCCTACCCTACCTTGAACCCCTCTGCCCCTCCTTAGTTACAAAAGCTTTGTTTCCATTTTTTCCTTCTTTTCTCATTTTTTTCTTTTTCCTTCCTCCATTTTTCCCTCTCTCTTCCCTAGTTGCCCTTCCCTTTTAAACATTTTCTTCCTATTTCACAATATCTATTATACATTTTTATCCTTATTTACACTTTCAGCTTCTCACAGCAGAGAAACAATGTTGTATTTACACATGTGCATCTATTTCACTTAAGAATGAAATATGGTCTCAAGGTGTATCCATTTGCCTAAAATTTCTGCCAGCTGTTCCTCAGACAAAGGACTACTATCTAGAATATATAAAGGACTCAAAAAAATCTGATCCCCCAAATTTAAAGACCCAATCCAAAAATGGGCATCTGAATTAAAAGATACTTCTCAGGTGAAGTAGAAACAGTTAATAAACATATGAAAAAATGTTCAACATTGCTGGTCATTCAAGAGATGCAAACTAAAACAATGCTGAGATTCCATCTTACTCCAGAAAAAATGGCTATTATCAGGAAATCAACCAATAACAAATGCTCATGGGGCTGGAGGAAAAAGGGAACCCTTCTCCACTGTTGGTGGGAGTGTAGAACGGTGCAACCACTGTGGAAATCAATGCAGAGATTCTTCAAAAAACTAGGACTAGAGTTTCCATTTGACCCAGCTATACCTCTTCTTGGTATCTTCCCAAAAGAATTAAAAACATCATACCACAATGATATACACATGCCCATGGTTATAGTGGCACATTTTGTAATAGCTAAATTGTGGAAATAACCCAAATACCCATCAACTGATGAGAGGATAAAGAAGATTTAAAAAAAATTATACAGTGGAGTACTACTTGGCCATAAAGAAGGATAAACTCAAGTTGATTTTTGTGTGCAGCATGAAGTAAAGGTTAAAGTGCATTTCCAATCTCAAAAGGATGCACCATTGTTAGCAGCACCACTTAGTGAAACCACGGTTCCTTTCTCTGGGATTTCTTTGGTATTATTTTGAAATGACAGTATGTGGGTGGGTCTATTTCTAGACTTATTTTTGTTATTTATTTTCTATTTAAAAAAGTAAAAAATAAAAAATTAGAAGCAATACAGAATTTCAAAAAACAAGATAACAAGAATTCAACAATGGTTGTTATATTGCATATTGTCTTCAGCTGAGGAATGGATAAAGACGATGTGGTGCTGTTACACAGCGGAGTATTGCTCAGCTATAAAGAGAGATAAACATGAGGCTTTTATAGGTAAATGCATGCAACTAGAGACCATACTCATAAGTGAAATAAATCAGACCTGCATGTGTAAATATAATATTGTCTCCCTAGTCTAAGAACCTGGAAAAGTAAATAAAATCCAAAAGCTAAAATAGATATTGTGAAAGAGAAAGAAACTGCTCAAAAGGAAAGAATAATTAGGATGAGGGAAAGGAGAAAAGAAAGAAAGAAGGGGAAAATATATATATATATACTCTAAACTATTTTTAATGTATTAGTCTATATGTAGGTCCTTATGTCAATTTTCCACTATCTTGATTATTACATTTTTATATTGTCTTGAAATAAGGTTCTTCAATTTTGTTCTTTTTTGGTTGTTTTATTTTTCAATTCTTCATGTTTGATAAACATTTTAAGTGAGTTTATCAATTTCTCCAAAATGCCTGCTGGGATTTTGGCTGAGACTGCAGTGAATTCATAAATCAAATTTAGGAGAATCTGTCTTTTAACTCTCTTGGGCCTTCCCATAGGCATGATGTACCTCTCCGTTTATTTAGGTCTTTTTGTCCTCTTAGCAACATTTTGTAGTTTTCAGTGTATAAATTTTGCACTTATTTTGTTAAATTTATCACGAAATATTTTGATGAAGATAAGTGGAACTTTAACTTTCTAATTGTATGTAGAAATACAAATGACTTTTGTAACTAGACCTCATATCCTGTTACTTTGTTAAATTCACTTATTCTTCATAGCACGTACACTTTTTGTAGACTTCTTACCAGGAAGCGATCTGAGGGATCTAAACTTCCTGATGGAAAGATTCTTAATTGTGAATCCAATTTCTCTACATGAGATACAGCCATTCAAATTTTCTAATTCTCCTTGAAGTCAGTTTAATACTTAGTGCCTATCAGAAAATATTTCCAGCTAGCAGCTTCCCAATGGGTATGATTGTGCCCTCTAGTTAGTCCTCCATGATCCATCTCTCTCTCACACCCCTGTCTGCTGCCGACAGTGAGCATTTCTGTTTGGGAACATGTGAAGATCTATCTTGCCTTGCAGCCTCTCTGGCCACTGTGCTAACCCTTTCCCTGGCTTTCTGCATGGCTGGTTCTAGTTTGGCATCACTTTCTCAGAAAGGCTTTTTGAAGACCTCCATCAAAACATCTTTCACCCGCTGATCTACATTTTGCCTAGGTGTTGTGTATCCCTCGACACTGCTCCATGAGAGTGAGGCAGAGTCTGACTGCTCACCTCTTTACCTTAGCACTGGGAACACCTAATCAGCCCTCAGACCTCTGTGGACTCCATGGATGATTGCATGAATGAGGAGTAGCTGAAGAAGCTCGCTGAGTGTGAGTTTTCCCTCTGTAAGGAAGAGGCTTGCAGGGATGAGGTGAAGGCTAGAGAAGATATTCATACTTCTCGTCCCTCTGCCTGGCACATAGGAGCTCAGTAAGTGGGATGTCAAGCATGCTAAGTTAAAGCTTCAGCAGGGACATGAGGATACAGTAGACAGGGTGAGTATTAAGACAGGTCTGTTGGAATTTCACAGGCTAAGCACACATACGAACCTCAAAAAATGCCAAGCACTGAAGATTCTGAAATTGTTTGGAATGATTTCTTTAAAGACAACTGTACTTTCTCTCTTCTGGTTTTATTAGTAGACAAAATAGGTTGTGGGCAATGACATCCAGCTGTAGTGTCTTTCTCCCTGAAAAATCCCTCTTTTCTCCTGTAGGTGCTGCCTGCAGACCCACCATCCCCACTTGGAGCTCTAACTTACGGCTATAAATCTGACAAAAGGCGGGTTCCCTAGGGGGAAGTAACTCTTTATACTAAAACAAGTCATTTATAGCCTGTGTGTAGTTTGCATTGAATCTGTGTGATCCCATGAGGAGAAAGCAGCTTAATCTTTTCCTGAGCACCTAGGTCAGGGGAGGGTTGTGCTCAGACCACCTCTGGCAGCCCCAAAGTAGATTTTGTCTCACTTAGACAATTTTATGCTCATGACTTGGTTTTTTTTTTAATTCATTGCTCCTGTCTTATGCCTCTGGTCCCAGCTCACTTACCTCTTTGTTTATGTATCCGTCTTTATTGATGTCATACAAATTAAATGTCCACCTTAGTTTCTCATGGACTGTTCCTCTCAGTAAAATCGACAGAGCAGTTACAAAATCCTAAGAGGCAGAAAAAGCAGGAGTGGCATTAACCACCAAGATGCTGAATGGGGAGCATCTAGGTCTTTAGGTCACACTCCCGAGTGCTTTTGCAGAATAGTGTCTCCCATTCGTCTTGTCTGCCTAAAGGGTATGGCCAACCTCAGCAGAAAGCTCCTGCCTTCCATGGCCTACACTGCCCCATTTTTAAACATGGTGTCCCCTTGAAGAGGCACGGAGCTCTATGTGTGCAGGCACTGCCAGGCACAGTTAAACACAGCCTCTTCTGTTCCTGCTTAATCCCAAGGCTGCACTGGTTTGCTTATCATATGCATGGCCATATATTTTAGTAGCTGCACAAACACACTGCCTGCATTCAAATCCCGCCTTGACCACTTACTAGCTCTTCGACCTTGTGAAAGTTACTCAGTCTCTCTTTGCCTTACTTTCCTCTCCTGTAAAATGGTAATAAATAATGCAACCCTACCTTATAGGGTTATTATGAAGATTAAATGAGTTAATAAATGCAAACTACTATGTCCAGAGGCTGCCTCCTGGTAGGCAGTGTACAAGCGAACCCTTAAACTGCTCGTATTTAGTCCCCTGAGTCCCTGAGTGCTTGGAGGGCAGAGGAAGTGGCCGCTTCGCTTTATCATCAGGAAGTGTTTATTAAATGGATAAAGTCTTTTTGTCACGACCAAGAGGATTCAGCCTTCCCCTAGGACCCTGAAATTTAGAGGCAGGGGCAATGTGCAACCAGGGGACTCCCAGAGTAGACCCAGGAGATGGCATACCTCGAACTTCACGGAGCCTGTCTGGGTGGTGTCGAAGGCATTGAAGAGGTAATGGGCATAGGTGCTGGCATCTGTAAGGCAGAAAGGGCAGGACAGGTGAGGGTTGCTAAGACCCCATGGGATGGGGGGGATGATTTACAAACGGAGGCAGGGTTTTGACCAGAAAGAGGAGAGCATGAAAGAAAAGAGAAAATTATGGAGGCCCCTGGGGTTACTCAGCCCCTGGAGTTTAGGTGAGAAGTTATTTCTAGCAGGAGGTGAGACGGGCCATGGCCCCTGCACGTAGCCACCTGGAGAGAATGGATATCCTGCCTGTGTTTGTGTGTGAGCTCTGGTGGCTGAGTGACGTGGTGATGTGTGAAGACGTTCTGAGCAGCAGTTCAGGGGCATGGAAGAGCACGGACTCAGGAGCGGAGACCCGAACCTGGGTCTCAGCTCTATGCCTGCAGGCATCTAATGCAACCTCTCTGAGCTTCCTTTTCTATTTCTGTATGATGAGATGTAGAAAGACCTATGTCTTGAAGTTTTTGGAGAAGTATGTTAGGGCCATGCCTGCCACATACTGAAAATTCAATAAAGTGTGACTCAACAGAACTCAATAAACTGTAATCCTGGTACCCGCATGAGACCAAGCTGCTTCCCCTAACTTGAGCAAGGCTCTGCACTGGGAAACACCTCCAGGGGTGCATCTGTCAGCTGCTGAACAGGCCCAAGTTAAACAGAGCCTGAGAAATGCTTGGGACACTTGGAACTTTAGGACCCAGGTCAGGAGTTTGGTAGATGACTCTTGGGAACAAGATACAAGGTGGCATGTATGACCTGGAGGTCACAGAAGAAGTCACTGGTGTGGTCCACAGTCCCTGGGCCAGAGCTGATTCCCACAGGAGTCAGGCAGGCCGCAGAGCAGGTACTGTGGGCTTGGCCCACTGTGGGCTCGCCCACTGGTAAGCATCAAGCACAGCTTCCTGCTCCTTACATCTTTTTGGGTTTATTTTTATAGTCTCTTGTATTTGCTAAAGTTGTTTGAATATTCCAGCTTGTCTGAGCTGTTTTAAGGGGAAGAATGGGAAATATCTGGCACAACAGAGGAGCCAATATGGCAAAGCTTTGCCTAGGACATCTACTGGATCTATCTCACTCTGCCCCGTACTAGCTGTGTGATCTTGAGTAAGTTACTTAATGTCTCTGAAACTCAGTTGTTTCTTCTGGGATCAGAATACTTTCTTTCCAGAGCTTTTATGAGACTTTGTAATATTGCATTATTAATCTTTCTTTTCCTCCCAAGTGGGTCCATTTTCATAGCTCTTTTTTGCTGAAGCTTTAGAGAATTCCACAACTTACAATAAGGAAGGTCTCTTGCTGTGTGTTCTCCCCCTATCTTGAAGAGGAGGCAAATAACAACGAAGAGTGTACTTGAAGGAAGGAAAGGCTGCTCACTAGAGAGAGTTGCGAGGGTCTTTCCCCAAGTCTGACTTACCTCCATGAGGGAAAAACTGAGCGTAGATCTGCTTGAATGTTTCTTCATTGACTGCACCGCTGGGGCACTCCTGTGGGAAGGGAGAGACAGTTGTGGGAGATGTCCGAGGGCTGGCACCAAGGGAAGTGGACAAGGACCAATCCTGGGTGTAAGGCTCCTTGTGATCCTCGGTGGGCAGGGACTGGGCAAGAACCTGTGCATTTCTGTGTCTCCAAGGTGGATGCCTGGGAGGTGATGCCACCATAGGACTGAAGCTGCTTAGCAGCATGGTGAGACGTCATCAGAGAAGGGACACTGTGAGCTGGAAAGAGTTTGGGATTTAAGATTCGAAGATGTGGGGTAAGCCACTTCGCAGCTTTGTGACTTCAGCCAAGTCAGTTTCTGATCCTCAGTAACCTTACCTGCAGAATGGGGCTCAGAGTACCTTCCCAGTGAGGGTAACAGGCATTTAATATATGAATCTTTGTTATGTGGTGCCAGGCTCAAGGCAGATGCCAAGCAATATTGAGTTCATCTCTTTGCTACATGCTGTTTCCGCTCAGCCTAGTACCCAAGGGCAACCTTTCCACCAGCTGCCCATTGCTATCACTCCCTCTTAAGGATGAGAAGGAAAGAAGCCCTAATGGCAGCAAGCCACATGAAAGGCACAGCTGAGGCTATAGGAGAAGGCAGGCGCCTCTCAAAGTTTGTCAGATGACTTCCAGGATATGCATGAATCCCAGTCAGCCTGCACCTCGGGGAACAGAGACCACGGTCAGTTTGGAATTCACCAAACCGTACCTATAGGCTGTAATTAGAACGGTATAATCAGAAGCACCTCTCTTTATCCCACCCACCCCAGTATTTTTGAATACAACTGTGTTATGAGATTTAAGCTTTAAAAAATTCAACATCTGAGGGTTCACGGAATGGTCTGAGAAGGCAGAGATGTATTCAAGGGCATGAAGCAACTACCAACTCCCAGTCCTCTGAGTCCACCTCAGAGTTTGGCTTCCTGTGTAGTGTACAGGAATAGGAGGTTGCAGCAAGAGGAGGAGTGTCTGTTCTGTCTGTCTATTTTCATGGTAAACTAATACAGTGGCCATTCAGGCTTATACATCAGACTATGTGAGTCAGTAAAGATGAATCTTACCATTTTGGAGGTACCAAGCTGATGGAAAGTGTGAATGTGTTAAGTTCAGGCTGGCTCCTGCACCAGGGTAAGTTCTCCAAAGTCACACCATCCTGTGAAGGTTTTGTGTAGTGGACCAGTTTTCTGTCCACTGAGATAGCCTCATCCTTGACCTGGAGCCCTGCTTTCTCACCAAGTGATCTTGCTCTCAAGTTCCCTTTATAGAGCTGGCCTTCCTTGTACAACTACATAGATGAGAAGCTTCCTTAGGAACTCCCTTTGCATTTAGGAGAGTTTTGCTCCCAGTGGGAAACCCCACTGGTGTGAGAGCCTATGTGGGTCTTACATTTTTGAAGCCACGATAAAGGACTTGCAGCTCTCTCTTGGTGAAGTTGGTCTGGGCCTCAAGTTGCTCCAGTCCCTCAGGTCGGTGGCAAACCATGGTCATCTCCAGTTCATCTTCAATCTTATCTGGAACCAGAGGAGATGGCATTGGAGTGTGACCTTGGCACTCTGGCCAGACTATAGTCTGGGCTATCAAAGCAGTGGTATCATTTTTTTTTGTTTTTTTGTTTTTTTTTTTTGTGGTACCAGGGATCGAACTCATGACCTTGTGCTTGCCAGGCAGGCACTTATGCCACTGAGCTATATCCCCAGCCCAAAGAAGTGGTATCATGACCTATGACATAGGGTGTGGGGCTGAGGCCACAATGCAGATGATCTTCTGCCTTGGACTCCTCTCTCCTACCCAGTCTCTGTCTTGAAATCTGTCCTTTCTGTTACTCTAGTTGTAACAGATGCCCAATGAGGGAAGTGTCACCATCTGAGATATGAGCAGAAATGTTTAAAGCACATCCATATGAACACATTTTTGTCTATCTAAATAGCTGCTTTACATATTCAAATTACTTCCCACTGAATATGCAGACAGGTAAGTGCGCAGAATGAGGAAGATCCTCAAAACAGCAAAGGAGAACAAATCGATTAAAAACAGTAAACCCTCATCATGTAGCTAATTAGGGAATGGCTAGCACAACTTAGTAAAAAGTTTAAATTATAAGATGTTAAATATTACTTAAAAAATCTGAATAATGGCCCGGGGATACAGCTCAGTGGTAGACCACTTATCTAGCATGCACAAGGTCCTGGGTTCAATTCTCAGCACCACAAATCAAACAAAAAATCTCAATGCATTTTATAGTGTATATTTATAACATCTTCCAGATGTCCTTACATTCTAGGACAATGACTTCAATGGGGGCTACTTTGTATATGTAAGATCTTCTAAGGCATTTGAAGGGCTTTAGAAACAGTTGGAAGTAGTAGTATAACTGTACAACTCTGATAGGTACTACAATGTGATACTGCAATAATTGTTTAGAAAGTAGCAGTCACCTGAAGCAAGGAATCTGGCCATCTCCCATCAAAGGATCACAAAGTTCAAAAATCAGGGTGTATTCAATGTTTGATCATCACAGAGGGATAAGTGAGTGCTTTACTTTAGACCCTACCACAATGTTTTCAAATTTATTGCAATCAAGAGTAAATTGCCATCTGTTATACTTTACATCTAGATGTTTCCCTAAAGCCTCTTGGGCTCATAGGTGAGGCTTTGGGGACCTCACAAAGCCTATGAATGGATCATGGGGGCTGGATGCTCAGGAGTGGAGTAGTTTACTGATGAATTTACAGTTCAGTGAGATTTGGGAAGTGAAGCCTGGATGGAGGAGGTGGTCCCTGGGGGCGTGGCCTTGACGTGTTTATCTCCCTCCCTCCTCCATGGACCCCTGGATCCCTCCATCTCTTGATCCCTCTCTCTGCTTCCTGCTGCCATGCCATGAGCTGTATCTCCTCTTCCATGCCTCTCTGCCCAGCTTCCCTACCTTGGAGCCAGCTGGCTAAGTACTAAAACCTCTGTAACCGGAGAGCCAAAATAAACCTTCCCTCCTTAAAAATTGTGGGTGTTGGGTATTGTGTCCCAGTGATAAGGAAAGTGACTAAGAAACCATCTAACCTTCTCTGTCTGTTGCTGTCATGCAGACAATATCAAATCCATATACTGAGCAATTCTAAATCTGGGCTTACAAAATACTGCTGAGATGGGCAGGCTACTGGGAATAAACACACACCATGTCATGCCCATGAGAAGTGAAAGGAAGCACAGGCTGAGTGTCTACCATGGAGAACAGGGTGAACAGGTACATTAAATTTAGGCATTTCTCTAAGCAGGGATTGGTTTCTTTGTGCCAGATTTTCTCTGCCATTCTCACTTTCTCTTTTGAAACCTTGATCCTAATATGAAAGGAATCCATCAAAGTAAGTTTGTGTCTTGTACATATTCCCCAAAGGAATGGATATTTGGGGAAATCTCCAATAACATGGTAACAATTCTGAATTTTATCTTTCTTATGTGCTGGGCAACACATATCACCTTATCCTGCTGGGAGTAAGGCAGATGGTTCAATATAAATAAGATACTCTGTTTATACAACATAGCAGCAAGTGGCCAATTTCCATATAATTCTTACAGTGCCTTTAATTATTGTTGTGTTTGTAGCTAGTGAGTTAAACAGCAATTACCTAAACACTGAAACATTTCTATGTAAATCAAAGGGCCAATCTCTAAAAGAAAAGGAAAAAAAAAAAAAGGAAAAAATTCCACATAACTCAGAAAGCTCAGATAATGTGAGAGTTAAACTTAATTGTCAACTTGACAGGCTTGAGAGCTATCTAGGGAATTACACACAGTTCCGGTATATCTAGGTGGGTCATAGAGACATGACCTTGGGGTCTATATATGGTCCCTACCCTCTCTTTTCTGGTGCTCATTTTCTTGTCTGCTTTGTGTTCACCATGAGCTAAGCAGCTTTCCTCTGCTATGCACTTCTCCCATGAAGTTTCTGCCTTGTAGCCAGTCAGTTATAGATGGAACCCTCTGAAACTGTGAGCTAAATGAAACCTTTCCTTCTTTAAGCTATGAGTGTTGGGTATTTGGTCCCAGAAGTGGAAAAGCTGTAATATAAAAACTGTAATATACATACAGTTTATGTATATTTTAGACTACTTTTAAAATAGAAAATAATGGTTTAAACTCAGCGTTAGATCAAATGCACTTTAATAAAAATGCACACACATTTAACTGTGCATATATTCTACAAATCTTCATAAGGAGCTATAGAGTTTTTTGTATCCCTTCTGTTGGCCCTCAAGGATTCCCTGTGTGCTGCCTAGGTCACTCTGATAAAGGAATGATGCTAAGCAAAAATCATATTAAAATATGATTAAGCAAAAGGAAATATTTATTATTGGATGAGATGATGCATATTTGAAAATGTCCTGTTTATTTGTCAAGGTTTATCTCATTCCAAAGCATGAAATATTTTTAGAAGATTATTCTGATTCTTCCTGTTATTCCACACAAGCTCAGGGAAATTATTTTTTGCAGAAGTTTGAAAAAATCCTTCTGATTCAGAAACAACAGTTGCTTCCCAATACCTTTATTAAAATGTACTAAGTAATTATTGAAATATCAACTGTTAAAGCCACTTCATTAAGTTGGAACTGGACTTTATTAATAAATCATTTGCTTGCTATTGGGGCAGCAGGATCAATTTTCATATCAGATGGATTGTGTAATATCAGAATATGTGAATTTTGATGGCCAAGCTTTTGTTTTATTTTGCTTCTTCATCATCCTGTAATTGTCTGTCTGTGATAACATCAGTGATAGAAGGAAATTAGCATCAGCAGGGTCAAGACTCTGGGAAATAGTCTGCCTGTGGATATTAGGGGCCTAAATCAGTACCTTATAATAAAAACACAATACAATATACACATAAATATAAGCAAAAATTTCATGAAATAACACTGTCTCTCACTAGTGCAAGATGTGCTCTATTCTCACATGTATTTCTGCGCAAACTTGTGCTGGTTGTGACCATCATGAATCATGACTTTTAATTGGAAAATACTGATGTAACTGGTCTATAGTGGTAGCTATAGGTTTCTTCAGTCCTCAGTGCCAAATGTTGCATGCTATTATTATTTTCATTATTAAAAATAATGATGAACTAGTTACTAAGTCAGAATTAGCTGAGATGATATAGATTAAAATTAGTCTAGAGATTTAGTACTATGGAAATTATTATATAGTATATGTTAAAAATCACTTAAAATGACTTGTCTTTTCAAGGCACTTTAAAATGTCCATAAAGTATTTCTGTGAAATTTTGTACGTGTGCTAGGAAGTGGGAAGATTATTGTAGTTCCCATAAGATATTTAGAAGACAATTATCCTAACAGATAAGGTGATTTTCTTACTATGAGTGACTCACAAAGCGATGAATCTTTACCCTAGGGGTAAAACTGAAATAGAATAATCAATTGCAGAGGTTGCTACACCAGAAATTCCCGGATGGAACAGTAGATGACTCAGACAGAATGGTTCTTAATGTTTTAGAGTTCCAAACTATTCTAAGTACGGGATGAAGGATTTTGACTCTCTCAGAATAAAAAGCACTAAATTATTATTATTAATAATATTATTTTGCTGTACTTTCACTGAATTCTCTCATCTTAAATACATGGAGTCCATGCTAATGACTGCTAGCATAGATCTCTTCCAAAGTTTCACTGACTGGTTCTGTGTGAATCTTAGGTCATATGAGAAATCAGTGACAAAAGTGGACCTCAAATCCAGCCAGTCCAGGCCTCTTCCTTCCTCAGATCTGGCTTCTACATGCCTCCAGTGGCTTCTGCTTCCCTTGAGCGCCAACTACAAATTGGTTTGTAACCAGCCTCACAGTGATCCTTCTCCTGTCAAGCAGGGCCTATGCACAATCAAGGCCCTCAGACTGGGCCGTGGAAGGCCCAAGCCTCTGGACTTCTCCCCAGCGAGGTGTTTCCTCTGTTAGGCTCATGCCCAAAGACCATGATCATATTCTTCTCCCTGGATTCAAAAATAATTTCTCTAACACAGTATCTCTGTGTTGGCCTTTATACCCACTCATTTATGAGTAGTTTGGAGGTTACAAAATAGTTACCATTAGCCTGAACATGATCTAATGATAGGTGCTATTTGTAAATATGTTTTAAAAGAATTACTTGGCAATGTTTGATGATGATTTATGTACAAGTTTGGCTTTCTTATCTCTTGGAAAATGGGATTATTTGAAAACTTGGTCCCAAATTCTCACAGGGAGGCTATCCACTAGAGTTGAGCATGGCTTGTTACCTCAGGCAGCCAGAGCCTCCAGGGCTCCCTGTTGCTCTCTTTGGCTTTTGGACCCAATTTTGTGCCTGTCAGGCCCCAGAGTTGAGTTTTGGGTTCTTGATTATATCCACTTACTCTCCTACCCTTCCACCTTTCTCCTACTTTATCGGCATAGTCTGTTTCATCATCTGTATACTTCAATACATTTTGATCTTTGTTGCACAAAAGACTTGAACCTACCATAGGTAATAAATATAATAAACTAAAAGCAGATAATGAAAAACTATCTGATAATGGAAAAACTATCTCAGAAAATATTGATTGGACTGGAGGTCAAGACCACAGGGGAAAAGAGACTGTAGAAATCCTGGCCATTTGTTCAGAGTAGTTACTTAGTTACCACCCTTGAATGAATCAGCTCTGAATTTTTACATAAGTCATATACCTATGAAAGGAAAGTATGTCAATATCTTAGGATCCTCTATCTTATTTCTAAAAGACCATTCCCAGCTGTTTCTATATAGGTGAAATTTCTTAACAAGGGGGAACAGAAAGCTGGTGAGAAAACCAATTACAAAATATGCATTTGATTCAGAAGCTCTTCCTTTGCAAGTAATGACCAAGCCAAGTCAGTTTAAGCTTTTTTACCTCTCTGATACTGGTAATACCACCAGGCGATGTCTAGGAAAAAGTAAGAAGACATTTTACCACATCCATTCATAGAAAAAGCAATACACATTTCTTTTGTGAATGGAAAGGCCACCCTGAGGATGTTTAGGTCACATTCGTCTCAACATAAGCAAAGAGGCCTCTCATTAGCAGAGCAGGGGCTACCTCCCCATCCTTTTCCCAGGGTCGGACAGGCAAGAGCAATGGGTCACTTCTCAGTGACCTGATTCCCAGCAGGGCTCACTGAGCATGCCCTCAGCCATGCAGTCATGCAGCCCGAAGAGAGATGGGATGGCATGTGGCAGAGGATACATGGACGTGGATAGGTCTTTGGAAATGCCCACATGTTTGACTGAAGAGTGGCATAAGCTTCCCTCAATGATGAGGAGATCCCACCACTAGTCTTCTCTGCTTCTTTGTGATTTGAAGTTTCCTATCTTGTAGGATGATTCATTTGTTCTCTCAACAGCTGTCATCATTGATGAAGTCTCTACTATGTATGTATTGGAGAATAAAACAAGTTTCCTGCTCTCATGGAGCTTACAATCTACAAGTATTTGCTTTTTTCTTCCTCCCTTTCCCCCCTATTTTTCTTTCTTAAGCTTGATAAGTAACTCGGATGCAAAGAAGGAAAGGTATTACTGCCAGTGAGGATTAGCGCATTAGTATGTGTGGCCAGTGGATGCAGGAGAAGTCCCTGTGATGCCAGATATGAAACACATGACAAAACATCAGATCTGGAGAATTATCTGTGGATAGTGGCTGAGTGGGTCCAAGGCCCCAGGGAACTCTCTGATGCCTTCCTACTGGCCTTTTCAGGCCTCTTTTGTGGTCAGCCTGTTTCCTTTGTAGGTTCTTGTTTGAACTTCCTCCTGTCTTGCCAGAATTCATGATCAACAGTGTGTAAAGCATCTCAGCCATCTTTAGTGTATTTTAACCCCTGCCCCCAACTCACAATTCCAGACCAGAACAAATTATTCCATTGTTGCTCCTAAAAGTGCTAGTATAGATAGCTGGATATCCATTGTCTTTTGACCTGCATCCCATGAGAGAAACTTAGTTTGCCAGATTTAGTTGCCCTTTTGATATCTCTGATTAGGTGGTATTTGGAATCATTCATTTACTTATTTTTATTAATAGACTATATTTGAAAACAGTATTAGGTTTACAAAAAATTGCACAGAAAGCATAGAGAGTTCCCATACAACTACTCTCCCAGTTTCTATTATTAGCATCTTGCATTGGTACAGTATACAGTACTTGTTATAATCAATGAACTAATATTTGATGAGCCAATATTGATATATTAATATTAAAGGAAATCCATAGTTTACATGGGAGTTCATTCTTTGAGTTGTGCTGTTCTATGGATCTTGACAAATGTAAAATGTTTTATGTCTATTGGAACAATGTCAAAGAGTTTCATTGCCCTGCAACTAGGTAGAATTTTCATAGAGATAGAAAACGAAATGCAAAGAGAAATAGAGATATATTTACAAATACAGATGGACTTTCTCTGGCATGCCAAGAATATGATAAGTATTTCAATAGAGATGAAGAGACATAATGTTTATTCACCTACAGTTCTCAGAGTAGAGGAAAGGTACACACTTAGACCAGGGATTGCAAACTCAAGTGCCAATAGTTGTTGGCAGGGAAACTGGATGAGTATGACTATATATGTACAACTATAGAGAGCAGTGGGGACTGAGAACTGGGGCAACTGCCCCATGAGAGGAAAGAGCTATTATTCACCCAGTTGTTTTCATGCAGAAATTTAAATCCAGTGAATCCAGACAGTTAGATTTTTCAAGACATGCTCTAATGCATTTTTAAATGTTAAATTAAAAATATACTATGTGACAAACATGACACGCTGGTGGGTAGGATGGTATGGGCTGTTGGTCTTAACTTGTCACTGGAAAATCATTCCAAAACAACATGGATATGGCTAAGAACTAGACAAGAAGAATTTGATGCCAGACTGGAAGGAAAGGACATCCAAAAAGGTGTTAAGGGAAGAGAATAATTCAGTTGAGTCTTGAAGGACAAGAAGAAGGGACAGTATATGCAAAGGTGCAGAAGCTGAAATACCCAAGAACAGTGGATTCTCTGGTAGCACAGTTGAACTCCACTGAGTAAAACTAGAAAGAAGGATTTAAAAGCATCCCATCTGTTTGAAGGTATTCGAACGACAGCATGGTCCTTTGCCTCAAAACTGTGCAATCCCTGCCTGGATTAAGTTTATCTTTCTTTATTACCTTCTGTAAGTTGAAGACTCAACTAAATAGTTTATGCCTTTTTTATTCTAATGTCCACCATACAGTGAAAATTTCCTAGGGACTGTAGGAAAGAGGACCAAGATAAAAAAAATAAAACATAGTGGTGGAGCTACAGGTAATCCAGATATTTGACTGATCAGGCAAAATTATGGTGAGCACATGCCTGAGAACATACATAAAAAAGCTGCATCATTCCATCAAATTCCAGGGTAAATACAAATGGTCAGCTGAAATTCTGGAATTGAAAAATATATGATCTCAAATTATCAATTCCATAGACTGATTTAATTGTAAGTTAGAAACAGAGGAAGAGAAAACTAATGATTGGTTTGAAAGAGCAGTAAAAATATACAGAAAGAGAGAGAGAGAGAGAGAGAGAGAGAGAGAGAGAGAGAGAGAAATGGAAAATGAAGAGAACAGCATAATAGACATATGGGACATGATGAAAAATTCTAACATATGTATAACTGGAGCCCTCCTGAAAAGAGATGATAAAGAATGATAAGGAAGCAATATTTGAAGAGATCATAAATAAGACTTTATTTAAAAATAAATGGGTGGGTGAAATATATGAAGCCACAAATCTAAGAAGCACTCCAGACCCCAAACAAGAAAGAAAATCATATGGAAAAACATCATGCTGAAACATAAAGACAGATAGAAAATCTTCCATACAAGAAAACAATCATCGGATAAAAGCCAAACCCTAACACAATGCTTCTTGCAAACATAAGGGCAAAGAAAAGATAGAAGTAAAATGATGGAAAAGGATCTATTTCACAAACACAAATCAAGAGGAACTGGGGTGTCTATGTTCCCATCAGATAAAGTGGATTTTAAAATAAGAAACTTTGCTAAAATGAAGGATTTTCTTAATGTAGAATGCTCCATTAGCTCAGAAGACTTAACAATCCTAAACTAGTATATACTAACAATAAAGCTTCAAAATATATATAAAGCTAAACTTGAAAGAACTAAAAGAAAAAATAAATTTATAACCAGAACTGCAGATTTTAGAACACCTCTCTGATAAATTGATAAAACCAGCAGGCAAAAAAATCAATTTGGAACACACACTATCTGAACAATATAATTAATGAACTTGGTCTCATTGACATATGTAAAGTTCTTACCCAACAACTATACACTAGTATATATTCTTTTCAAGGATATGTAGAACATTAATCAAAATTGACTATTTCCTGAGATAATAAAGCCAATCTCAATAAAGTTTGGATAATTAAAGTTATTCAGATTGTTCTGTCTCCAGACTGGAATTAAATAAAATATCGATAGCAAAAAAGAGAGCTAGAATGCACTCATAAGTGTAGAAATCAGGCAATACAGTGTAGCTATAATTTCTAAGTGGCCCATGTATCAAAACAATATCATGGAAATACAGAAAGTGCTGTGAACTAAAAGAACATAAAAATACCACATACTAAAACTTTGGAGATGTTATTAAAGCTGTATCCATAAGGAACTTTAGAAAAACCATTTATATGACAATACACCCAAAAAGTGTGGAATGCTGTGCTTTCTCATGAAATCCAATTTTTGTATTTCCAGGGGTTCATTGTCTCCTAAACTCTGGTGGTTACATTAGAAACTATGTTAGTAGTAGCCTGCTGGTACTTGAAAATGCCACCTTTTCCCCCCCAATAAATATGGCTGACCGATTTGTTCAGGGTGGGGTCAGCACTATCTTTTGATTGACAACTTCCCTCAATATACTGTAGTCAGGAGTGAAAAATCCTTGTCGGTGCCTGCCTGTAACAGAGGGGGAAAAGTCCTCTTTGGTCTTTAAACCTTAAGGCAGAGATTCCTACAGCTGAGGCTTGGAGATGAGTCAAAAATCCACTCAGACACACGCAGCGCACACAACTCATCAGCTCTGAATTTTATATACTTAACAACGAGTCCCGCGAGTGCTGAGCTGAGCCTGATAAAGATTTTCTGAGTGTTCCAGCTATTTTTTCAGCCTTCTTGGTTCAATAAAACTCAAATCATGTTTTGCTCCAAGCATTTGTTCTCTTAATCTTGAAACCCCTCCTGCCCCTTTTAAGCAAAATTGAATTTATACATTTCTCATTCATTTACACCTTGGTCCTGAAAATGTACTGGAAAAACAGTCCTACAAAAAAAATCTTTGAGTGTTGCTACTTTTATTAGATGGAAGGTTTTAAAGATCAAATGACTTGAGAATTCTTTAATGTGTGGTGTATTTTACCTTACTAGTCTTCTCTTAATGCAAGGATGTTCTTAGGTTAGCACAGAGGTTAAGGTATGTAGGGATGGGAGTGTCAAATGTTCCTCACATCTTCCAGGAGGAGGGGCATCAGGTGCCAGAAATGAACTGTGAGAAATGCAATGCAGTGCATAATAGTCTATAAACTCACTACACAGGATGTGACATAAATCACAGTTCTGTTTGTTACATGACAATATCATATCCATATATATATATATATTTTTTTTTTAACCAAGATTGAAAAAGCAAAGGGCTGGAAAAAGATTTATCCAGATGCCAGGGATGAGGAAGGAAGACCTCTAAAAGGTATTTCAGGACAAGGAGCAAGGCCAGGCACAATAAGGACTTTCATGTCCCCTCATCTTAAAGCAATATTTTAAAGCAGCTAGGCCCATCGAGGAGCTAGAAGGTAGAACTGGTAGAATTTCAGCCACAGGCAAAAATGTCTAGATGATGTTTTAAGTGGATCTTTTTGTCTG